CTGTCAATAAAGACACATCTTAAGTTAATTTTTTACATTTTGACTATTTTACCTTAACTTTTTTGTTCTGCTGTATTTATTCTTTTCATGAATATCACTCGCTTATGTCATCGTTAGATCAAGCAGGCAGACAAAAGAAGATGGGTGTGAATGAAGCATCAGGGTATAAATAAAAACCTAATAGTATACAAGCTACATTCTCTGGCCACACAGTCAAATAAAGTTAGAGATTAACAAGTAAAGTTTAAGTTAAGGACCCTACCCTTAGAAATAGAAAAAGAAAACTACAGGGAAGAGAAAAACAATGTCAAATAGCTCTTCAATGAAAGATAACAACAAATTATTTAATTCATTAAATAATGTAAGCTATTGAAGATCTGTCTCTTTTTCATTTTTTTCACAGTTTTTAACCTGTGAAGTTGATATGAGCTAAAAACTAAAAAGTCTGGATATGATAGACTATTTTCTACACTGAAAATGTCTAAATTTAAGTTAAGAAAGAAAAATTAAATTGAATAAAACTTATGGGCACAATTGAAAAAGCCCAAGAACTACCTCCAAAAACAGGCAGTGTGCCTTAAATATATTTTACTTGTTGCCCAGTAGGCTTAACTCAGTGGTTGAGCATTGACCTATGAACCAGGAGGTCACAGTTTGATTCTGGTTGTGTGCTCAATCTCCAGTGTGGGATGTGCAGGAGTCAACTGATCAATGATTCTCTCTTATAATTAATGTTTCTATCTCTCTTTCCCTTTCCCTTTCTCTCTTAAATCAATAGAAAATATATATATATGGTTACATTTATAATAATAATATTTATATACACTGAGTGGCCAGATTATTATGACTTCTGAATGAATAATAATCTGGCCACTCAGAGTATATCCTATATAATAAAAGGTTAATATGCAAATTATTCCCTTGACCAGGAGTTCGACCAGCTGGCAGGCCAGCCAACCGTCCATGTCACCTTCCCTCCTTTTGCACAAATTCATGCACCCAGCCTCTAGTACACACACACACACACACACACACACACACACACACACTCTGAGTAGATAGATTATTATGCATTCAGAGATCATAATAATCTGGCCACTCAGTGTATATAAAGAATTCTCTTAAAATATATTTTACTTGTTAATTTATTGATCAAAAGGAGTAAGTCCACATATGCCAGAGCCTTCACCTTGGGTAAAAGTATGTGGGACTTGAGCTGCCATATTTTAAGTTTTGGCTATGGCACCAACCAAACTTTCCACAGCTGTTACTTTTCTACACCCCCTTAAAGGAGGTATATAATGTAGCTTTCAATCAGCAAACAACCACTGTGCCAAGATTTACCAATATAGGTACTTTATTGTGTGGGACAAGTGCTTATAATTACACTTCATGGTTCTCAAATGTGCAAATGTTCCAAAGTATATATCAACTTAACTTTAACAACTCATACAGCTTTTGTGGATGAAAAGGTAACTGATAAAATTCAACATTTACTCTTGACAAAATAAGACATTAGTAATAAAAGAAAACTTCCTGAATACAATAAAGAATATTTATCTGAAACTAATGGACAAAAATAGAAGAAATTCTAGCAACTGAAACAAGACAAGGAGTGATGCTATCTATTATTTAACATTGTTCTATGACTTCTATCAATGTGAGACAAGAACAAGAAATAAGTTATATGTTTTTTTAAGTTATATGTTTTGAAGAGATAATTTTGACTTTCCAAAAACACTTCTCATCAACATGCATTTCTGAGAAATTCCATTATAAAGCAGAAAGAATGAGGTACCCTAACAAAAAAGGAAAATAGAACTTCAATTAATTAGAATCTGTTAAATTTTTAAATCAAATTTTAGAATTCTGAATACTTTTTTGTTCAATGGAGAAAGTGGGAATAACAACACATTTAGGCCTTCTGCCATTATGAGAAGTCTATTTCTTACTCTTGATTAGTATGGCATATTGATTTTTTAAAAAGTACTTTCTTTCATGATGAAGGGTCTTGCAATGTTCCATGACCATAATATATATGTGACTTTATAGTTATAATAAGTTCTTTAAATTGATGTGAAAAATATTTCTAGTTCTGGTCACTGGGAATAGTAGCGAACAAAACAAATATTTTGCTCTCACGATCCTGACATTTTCTGTCATTTAAACTACTCTTTTATTTCAACATTTTTTTTGTAAAATGTTTTGGCTGCAAAAATAGTACTAGATAATGTATTTGGATATTCGATGGTTTCATTAATTGAATTTGATTAACTGAGATTTTTATTTTATGATGGCTCCTTTGTAAACTTTCTGTGAATTGTGAAGGTAATGATAATGATTATGGCAATAATGACCTCCTTGGTGAAATTATTGTTTTGCTGAGAAAGTATTTTGTTTTCTTCATAAGTGGATCATAATGTACATAACAAGCCTGACAGGTCCCTGTGTTTGCCATGGGTATACATAGCAATAGTCAGCTTTGTTTTCTTTTTTGTGGGAATTACAGCGTGGGTATGATCCTAGGAAGATAATTGTTAACTAGTTGCCTTAACAAATTTGACTTCTCAAAGTTATAGTTCAAGGGGGCGGGGGATTAAGGGAAGATTATTTTAACCATTTTAGCTCTCTTTGTCTCCATAAGATAGTTGATAGTTGCCTCTCTCTGAACTTGGAGATTATAGAATAATATCATCAATTTGCTTTTGTATAATTCTTCACAGCCTTCAGTATTGCTTCATATATATTTTATGAAGCAATATATTTGCATTAGTTCCAAATAGAGAATAATTAAAATAGGCAGGGAAGGAATTACGATCTCTACTTTACAAAGAGGAAACTGAAACTCAAAAACATCTCTGCTGGGGTCTCCCTGGCAGTTTGGTGAAAAGCAGGGGTTAGAACCCACATCTCAGCCAAACAAGAGATGCCTGTTTTCAGGCATGGTGACCTGCTGCAGAGCTAGCAAAGCCTGTTGTGGTTGGTCACACAACGCTGGGGGCATTGCTAAACACCAAGAAACAATCTAAGCTCTGCAATTGACTGCTGAGATTGGGAAAGAACTGCAAAACATCCCTTTAAAGCAAAAGTGCTAACTTGTACAAAATCCTATGTACAAGTACTACCGTTTTTCCTAAATAAAAAATAAATTAGGAGAAAATACAGAACACAAAGAAGAAAGTGAAAATACTTATGTCACCACTAAAATCTTAGCATATGTGACATTAAAGTGCTTATCTTTTCTATGTACATATACATAATTTTTAAAAATAAAATAAGATATGCTATAAATATTGCTTAGCAATCTGCTTTTTTTTTTTTTTTTTTTTTTTTTTTTTTTTTTTTTTTTTTTTGGCTTAACACTATATCATGAACATTTCTATAAGTTAAATAATGTGTTGCCCAGCTGGCAGAGCTCAGTGGTTAAGCTATGTATGAGTCAGAAAATCATGGTTTGATTCCCTGTCAGGACACATGTCTGGGTTGCAGGCTTGATCTCCAGTTGGGGGTGTGCAGGAGGCAGCTGATCAATGATTCTCTCTGATTATTGAAGTTTCTATATCTCTCTCCCTCTCCCTTCCTCTCTGAAGTCAATAACAAAAATATATTTAAAAATAAGTCTTCTTTGCTTTAAAATAATGTTTATTTGAGAAAAATATTTTAATATTTATCCTTTTATTATAAAACTAGAGGCTTGGTGCAGTGCATGAAATTCATGCATGGGGGTGGTGGTTCTCTCAGCCCAGCCTGCACCCTCTCCAATCCAGGAAACCTCTCACAATCCTGGACTGCTGGCTCCTAAGTGCTCACTTGCCTGCCTGCCTTGTCTCCCCTAATTGCCCCCCTCTGCTGGCCTGATTGCCACTCACTGCCTCTGCGTGCCAGCCTGATTGCCCCTAACTGCACCCCCTGCTGGGCTGGTCACCCCCAACTGACCCCCATACCAGCCTGGTCACCCCACACAGCCTGCTGTTCGGTTGTTTGGTCATCCCTCACTGACCCCCCTGCCAGCCTGATTGTAGGCAGCCATCTTGTGAGGGTGTGAGCATTAAAGAACATATCTATCTCCACAAAAGCCAGCACATGTGAGGCACCCCTTGAGGGGTTCCCTGGGAAAACTTTTAAGGTAGTAAAACTAGGTCCTGTAGGTACAGGTGGGCAGGAACAGGAATTATATGTGCTGTTAATGAGACTAGAGCTCTATGTTGTTTGGATTTTATATACACTGAGCATGTATTAATCCTATGTAATAAAGAGGTATTGTGCAAATTAACACCAGCCGAGACCGGTTTGGCTCAGTGGATAGAGCGTCGGCCTGCAGACTGAAAGGTCCCGGGTTCGATTCCAGTCAAGGGCATATACCTTGGTTGCGGGCACATCTCCAGTAGGGGGTGTGCAGGAGGCAGCTGGTCGATGTTTCTCTCGCATCGACGTTTCTAACTCTCTATCCCTCTCAATTCTTCTCTGTGTAAAATCAATAAAATATATTTTTAAAAAAATACACCAAAAACTGGTGAGTGGTAATTAAGAGCTTAGGCCATGTTTCTATTCTATTAAAGAAAAATTCTCACGTATAATTGGAAATAAGATTAGAAGCATTAGAATAATGGTAGAATGAAACTTTTTTAAAAATTTTTTTATTAAATTATTATCTGTGTACATATCTTACCATTGCCCCCCCCCCCATACATACCCACCCTCCCCAGAGTTTTGTGTCCATTGGTTGTACTTATATACATGTATACAAGTCCTTCGGTTGATCTCTTATCTCCCCCAGATCTCCCTACCCTCCCCGCTATAATTTGACAGTCTGCTTGTTGCTTTACTGTCTCTATATCTATCTTTTGGTTCATCAGTTTATATATCCATAATTGAGTGAGGTCATATGGTGTTTCTCTTTCATTGACTGGCTTATTTCATAGAGTGAAACTTTTGATTATGTATGTAAGTATAAAAAAAAATCTTCCTACTAATTAATAAGCCTTTTCTCTCCCCAGATATTAAAATAACCATGAAGAAAAATATTATCAATACACAGCATTCTTTCATAAACATTCCCAATGTGATTGTCCCAGATATGGAAAAGAAAATAAGAAGGATGGAAAATGGAGCATGCAGGTAACTCCATTTTTCCATGTATTTTTAATGGAGCTCTTAAATTTTAATTTAACTTAAAAAAATTTTAATACTTACCTAAGAGAGAGAGAGAAAGACAAAGACAGAGAGAGAGAGAGAGAGAGAGAGAGAGAGAGAGAGAGAGAGAGGAGAGAGAGAGAGAGAGAGAAATACCAATCGGTTGCCTCCTGTACATGCCCCAACCAGAGATGGAACTCTCAACCTTTTTGGTGTGTGGGACCATGCTCTAGCCAACTGAACCACCCAGCCAAGGCTCAATTTAACTTTTAATTTGTAACCTTGAACTTTATAGTTTATTTAATGTAGTAAGTTTATTTAAACTTTGAAACAGCATAACCTGTACAACAAATAAACATAGACATTATTGGGCTCATTTAGAAGCCCCTATGCCAAATATTTTTCTAACCACTGTCAAGAACTTTCCTCATGGGACATTTAAATTCTAAAGGGATAACATTGCCATAGATACATGTGAAAAAATACAGAGTGTGAAATGCCAGCACATTTTAAAAGTATAATTTAATGCAGTTATTCTATTTCTATAAATGAAGAGAACATATATACATTTGGTTGAATATATTTTTAATGGAAGGAATCCTATATAATAAAAACCTAATATGCTAAGTGTCCAGTTATCCAGTCACTTGTTTAACCAATCAAAGTGTAACATGCTAATGATATGCTAAAACCACTCAACTACTTACTATGATCTGCACTGACTACCAGGGGGCAGACAGTCAACTGGTCGGCCAGTTGCTATGATGTGCACTGATCACATCATAGGGGACAGATGCTCCAACCAGTAGGTTATCTTGCTGCTGGGGTCCCACCAATTGGGATTAAGTGAGACACACCCTGACACACCCTGGAGCTCTCCTGTGGTTCCTCCCTGGCTGGCCAACCTCCTGCATCCCTCCCTGGCCCCAATCATGCACCAGTGTGGTCCCTTGGCCTGGCCTGTGCCCTCTTGCAATCTGAGACCCCTCAAGGATGTCAGAGAACTGGTTTTGGCCTGATCCCGCAGGCCAGGCCTAGGGACCCCTACTGGTGCACAAATTTGTGCACTGAGCCTTTAGGATTTTCATAAGTTAGTCCATATCCCTGTATATGACCTAGAAAGTATTTTCTTAATTACATGTATATCACTGAATTGTGGTTACAATCCTACGTATTCTGTACAGTTCTCATTTCACTCTAATTAAAAGTCGCTGTATGTGTTACTTTGAGAGGGAAGGAAAAGGGGTAAGCATCACCCTAATGAGAATTGGCATTCCTCTATATCAATTTAGAGCAAGCATGTCAAACTCAAAGGCTAACATGGGCCAAATAAACAAGGTTTAAGTTTATGTGGGCCGCAAAAAAACAAAAGCTTCAATTTTCATAGAAATGTAGGTTTATTTCAATAGAGACATGCTGAATACAAAGAGCTGAAATAAATTTGTAATCATTAACATAAAATAATAGAACATTTTAATAAAATTAATATTTTTTTCTTGAACATTAACTTACCAGACACTGAATAACAGCACAAATTAGTAAGCAGAACACAAATAAACCTATTTTTCTTATCCTCCGAAAGCAAACTATTTCCTCTTGTACACACCAAATAAGTCAGTCCAAGACTAATGATGTAGCAGCAATTGGCTCTAAAATATTCGCTGCTAGTATTAGTGGAGGGAAATGGTGTTCCTGCATGTAAGGTGTGTAAGGGATAAGAATGCAATATGATCACATATCATTAGCAAACGTTGTAGTTCATTATTAATCATTATGTATAACAGGATATTGTAAAAATTAAGTTACGAAATATTTATTAAAACGTTTCTTACATACCGTTATATTGGCTGGGCCGCAAAAGTATTCCTTGTGGGCCGCGTGCCGCCTGTAGGCTGCGAGTTTGACATGCTTGGTTTAGAGCATTGACCTAATTCACCTCTCCCTCCCATTGGACTGTAGCTCCTTTTCTGACGACAATGACAGTGCCTCTATATTTGAAGACTCCGAGAGTGAAAACCCCTGTGCAGGGGATTCCTTCAGAAATAGTTCACGCAGGAAGGGAGGACCATCACAGAGGTGAGCAATCTAATCTGTTTCCCTATCCTGGTTTTTAAACCATTGTTTAGATGAAAAAAGACCTCCTTTGAGGGGACTTGGCAAATGGTCCTGCTCCTTCATCACTAGGCAGGATTTTGGGAGGAGCTCGCTACTTCTTTTCTTGGGAGACGGTGATTATTCATGTCCATGGGGCTCCAAGACATACTCTTGCTGATCATTTTCCCAAGACACATGTTTGTCTCTTACGCTTCATGCCCCAGTCCCCTCTGATTTCCTCCTTCTCTCTGATCCTTCTTCTAGGGTCCTGAAGTAGTTTAGCTCTGTTTGGCTGTCATTTTTTTCTTTAATATTTATTTTTATTGCTTTCAGAGAGGAAGGGAGAGGGATAGAGATAGAAACATCAATGATGAGAGAGAATCATTGATTGGCTGCCTCCTACATGCCCCCTGCTGGGAATCAAGCCTGCAATTCAGGCATGTGCCCTTGGTTGGAATCGAACCTGGGACCTTTCAGTTCACAGGCTGATGCTCTACCCATTGAGCCAAACCAGCTAGGGCTTGGTTGTCATTTTTTAAAAATCCCATTTGACTTTCCTTTCAGGAAAGTAGAGAACTGGAGTGAGTAGTTAGAAGAGAAAAGCTTAAAATCCTTTGTAGGGAATAAGCAATCATGGAAACTTCAAACATGCTAGTCTGAGGGGGTGGGAGCTGTGTGTGGTGGTGTGGGTCAGGGGTTGCCATTCTATAAAATATATATGGTACATAGTCACTTTTTATTTGCTGTTTGTCCTGCCTTTTTTTCCTTCTCTCCTATTTCTCTTTTCAACTGACTACCTCCAGTTTTTCCACTCTTTCCATTTGCCTTTCTTTCCCCTTCCTAGCTTCCTAAGTGTAAGTCTCAGGTCTCTTGCTGGGTGTTAGCGGCATCCAGTTGGCTCAGTGGAGACCAATAAGGATGCTACTTCTCGGTGTGAGCACTGATCAGCAGGTGTTTACTAATCACTTTGTTTCATGGCATGATATTTGATAGCTCATGCTTCATGGAGGCTCTGCATTTTCAAAACTTGTCTAGACAATAATTAGTAATAAGTAGAAACTGAAAAAAAAGTTGTTCTTTGAGGCTGTGTGCTTACCATAGACATTTATGGATGGAGACTACTATGATTTCACTGTACTTCTCATTCCCTAGGGAACAGCACCTGCCTGGTGTCATCGCACTTTTCAATGTTAACAACAGCAGCAATAAGGAGCAGTAAGTATATTTACAATAGGAAACAAAATATAATAATATACTAATAATTATTACATTTATTTTATAATATAAATAGAGAAAACCAGTGAAAAGTTAGGGATATATCTGAACCTGTTATAGGGCGGATATTAGGCAATGACATTGATATTCTGTCGCTTTATTGTTTGTTTATGTACTTCTGAAAAATGTAGCTACCCATATTAAAAGTGGTGTGTGTGTATGTATGCATGTGAACATTTCAATACTGTGAATTACTATTATGAGCCCCATCTCGCTTTGAAGGGTAAGCATTGCCACTAGTCTCTGTTCTCTCTAGATCCTGGCATCCCTCTTGCTCTTGAGAAGCCCAGTTCTGTATCAGCATCTCCTATTATCAGTACCACTGAACATCTCAGTGATGCTGGTGCCCTCTCTCCAGCACATTTCGGATCATTTTTGTACTCTCTGAGCCTTCTTAGGGAACATAAGCAACTGGCGGGCCATCTCCCTTATGTAGCATGCCCATGTTAGCATACCACTCTTTGAGCCTCTTTGGTACCTTCTTCTACCATCTGGCCTGGCATGTTGTCATTTCTATTTCACTTGGTGTGAGCCCTCAGCTTTTCTGAATTTCAAAGCGCCACCTAAGCAGCGTGTGAGGACCATCTTTCCGGGTTGATGCTAGGGTGTTCAGTCCTGTCTCACAGGAGTGAGTTCCCATAAAGACAAATTCTCCCCTTTTCAACTTTATGTTCTGTTCCCATTTGACGGGATGGCCTTAGATACCAAGCCTCACTTGTCAGTTTTATCTCCTATTTCTCCTCAGTAGCAGCTTTCCACTTCTGGTCATTTGCACCCAGATGAAATTTATTTGTATATTTGTACCAAAAAATGTCCTCCCTTTAACATCCTCCCTCTTCTCAACTTTTCCAACTCTTGCTCATACGTTGAGGTCAGGTGTAGACCTCCCTCCCTTTACCAGCCTTCTCTGATTATCCTTGTGGTAGTGACATGCCTGTTCTTTGATGTGCCAACAGTAACTCTTCCCAGGACATTAGAGCCAACAATGGCAGCCTGCTGAGACTTTGGGTCTGGCTGTCTGGCTCCAGAATCCTTTTTCTGCTCATGGAGAAAAGCAATCATGGAAAGAGGCCTTTAATCACATAATTTCCACTCAGGAAAAAATTGCATATATACGTAATCTCAGATTTAGTGAATGATTCTAAGAATTAGGATTCCACTATGTCACCACAGAGCTTTTTGACTACTCAGAAAATAATTGCTTCAGGCAGAATTAATGCTCTACAAAAATTGATGGTATTTTCTCAAAATTCTCAAAGCTCTTATTTAAGGATAAATATAAGTAATAGCAAGAATCCTAAATTTGAAATAATTTAAAACATATACATTGAAACTTGGAAAGTACATTCTTTTTTTTTTTTTAAATATATTTTATTGATTTTGTACAGAGAGGAAGGGAGAGAGATAGAGTTAGAAACATCGATGAGAGAGAGTCATCGATCCATTGCCTCTTGCACACATCCCAGTGGGGATATGCCCACAACCAAGGTACATGCCCTTGACCGGAATCGAACCTGGGACCCTTCAGTCCCCAAGCCGACGCTCTATCCACTGAGTCAAACCAGTTTCGGCGGAAAGTACATTCTTTTAGAAGCTCTTGTTTCTTAAATTTCTCTCCTTGGGTTTATGCCTTTACCCAGCTCTATCTTCTTTAGTTTTCCACATTCACCTACTCAAGAATTATTCTTTGTTTGCCTTGTTACCTGGATGCATGTACCTTTTAGTAGAACTCTCCATTAGAAGACCAGATTTCTGTCTTCGAAACACAGGGGAAGTCTTTGAATACAAAGCTGAGAATTATTGTTTGGTGGAGAGAAAAATAAGTCAGAATGGAAGTCAGAATGGAATTTGATTATGTGATGGAAATATTGTTTCTTCTCTAGAAAGCCAAAAGAAAAAAAGAAAAAGAAAAAAGAAAAGAAGAGGTAAGTTAGACTTCCACAGTTTTCTGCTCATGACATTTTTTTTTGCATTCTAATACTAACTAAATATCTCACTTTTTCAGCAAGCCAGCTGATAAAAGTGAAAATAAAAAGGACCCAGAGAAGAAAAAGAAAAAAGAAAAAGACAAAGAGAAGAAAAAGAAAGAGGAAAAGAAAGACAAAGATAAGAAAGAAGAGTAAGTTTTTTTTAATTCTCATTGAAATCAGGAATGTATTGGCGATAGGTTTTGGATCCAGGGGACATTTCCTGAAACTTTATATGCAGAGGCCCTCTGTGAAGACTAAATAAATTGTTATTAAATGTAGTTTAACTTTTTTCTTATTTTCTTAAAATTTTCTTAACAACAGAAGCCTCATTCTTAGTTTTCTCATCAAGAATTTTCATTGCTATCATTAATTCCCTTCCCCAAACCCTGATAGAGATAAACTTACTACTGAGGGAGAGTTAGGCTCCGTGGAGCATAGGATTCCTAGGATCTCACCATCAATCTAAAAAATTGAAATATAAGTTCAATAATTTTGTTAATATTTTTGCATAATAAATATTGTACTATATGGGAAATACTTCAAAGTAAAGAAGTCTCCTTGCAAAAGCCACGCCTCATTTCAAAAGCAAAATTACCAGCCATTTGAATGATCCTTTTTCAAACCAACATCTGAGAACTGGAATCGCACCATGATAAGGCTGAGTCGATACTGTTGTGATAATCTGGTTATTCTTTAACAGGAAGGGAGTAAAGGGAAGACTAGATCATATAGGCATGTCATTTATACAGCTTGGCTAATTTAACGTTCTCCAGGTAAGGCAGTTTGGGCATATGCCCAGGAAGGTCTGAATGACGTGGGAAGGGGCCTGTATGCCAGTCACGCCAGGAAGTGAGGCTGTGCCCAGGGTAGGTGTAGCCACTGTAAGGGGGAGAAACCTGACCACTTACACTCCTAGACAAAGGCTACACACACTCTTAACTCTGGGCTCTGGGCCCTGTACTTCTGTTCCAGGGAGTACACTCCCTGCATTTGCAGGAGTCCCAGTAATGTAAGACGCCATACAATGGACTAATGGACTTGAATTCACTTGAGGCTGGACTGGACCCAGCTGCAACTTGGAATGAAAGCTCGGGGCACTGGCCTTGCTTGGGCTTTGTGGAATCCATAGCCGCCCCTCATTCAGGGCTGGCTGAAGGGAAATGGGATGTTGGAAGCTGAGAAATAGAGCTCCATACAAAGTCTTCTATCACACCGCATTATCCCATGGGAGCTTCTGAAAGTGCTCATTTCAGTGGCACCCCAAGAACCCCAGCCCCATGAGCAATGGTGGAATCCCACTCCTGTATTCTGGTAGCAGAGTGGTAGTTGCAAAACTCTTTTTGCTTTTTATTTGTTTTTATTTTTAAAATGTATTTTATTGACTTTTACAGAAAGGAAGAGAGAGGGATAGAGAATTAGAAACATCAATGAGAGAGAAACATTGATCATCTGCTTCCTGCACACCCCCCACTGGGGATGTGCCCGCAACCAAGGTACATGCCCTTGACCGGAATCAAACCTGGGATCCTTCAGTCCGCAGGCCGATGCTCTATCCAATGAGCCAAACCCGTTTCAGCTCTTTTTGATTTTTATTAAAGGAAAAATTGTTTTCTAAACTTACTTAAAACTCTTTACCAGACAATGGTTCAATTATTTGTGCCTGTTAGAAAGTTGTTGACGTTTGTATAAAGAAAAAAGTCCTTAAAAATATAGGCTTGATACTACAAAAACGTTTAAAACATTTATTTGAACATATATTTTCTTCCTCCCTTCCTCTTGCCCACTCTTGCCTCCCTTAATCCTTTGTATGTGCTTATGCATATGCACGTTTATTAGATTGTGTTATGTTGTTCTTTCCTACAGATTAGAAAAAAGCCATGAGCTCTCCCCTTACAGTGTAGTTCTTGGTTGTTTTGTTCCCTGGTTGGGGGCTTGGCAAAGCCAGCATTCTCCCACCATCTATACCCTACCAAAGGGTTCTGTGAAATGTCCAGGGTTTGGCATGATCTATGCAATGATTCCTTCTTTGTGGCTGAAGAGAAAGAAGTATCTACGGCATCGCAGTAAAACAAGGGCTTTAATTGAAGTGTAAAATTTGATTTCATGTAAGACTAGTAATTGAACTATCGTGTTTCCCCGAAAATATAATAAGACATCCTCCAAAAATAAAACCTACTTACAGGTTTCCTTCTGAGTGATATATAAGGCATCCCCCCCGAAAATAAGGCCCCCCTAGGCTAAACATGAGAGATTTGGTCCACTGATTCTGAAAGAAATGGAGTCACAAGAAATTCACCAGGAAATTCAGGAATTGGATTGTTATGATGATGTTCCAAAAGATGATGACGTGATTGTCAATGAATAAATGAGTAAATTCTTGATACTGTAGGATTCACAGTTTGTCTGATTTGTGCTGACAACTACCGTACTACCGTACCGTATACAGGTAATAAATTTCCTTTATTTTCATTTAACAATAAATGTGTACCGTATTCTTCTTCATGGAAAAATAAGACATCCCCTGAAAATAAGACCTAGCGCATCTTTGGGAGCAAAATAAGACACTGTCTTATTTTCCGGGAAACAAGGTATCCTGCCACCCTTCATGAACTAGTTTCTTATGACCAGTGCACTTAAGCCAAGCTAACCTTCTGGCTTCTCCAGCTTCCTTCTCTTTTGTTCATTGTGGGGATGGGCATAGTCGTATTTGACAGGTGACATTGAAATGTTTTTGTTTCTTGGTAACTTTCCCCTCCGCTTCTGATTGCTGCTAGGAAGAAGAAAGAAGTCATGGTGATTGATCCCTCGGGAAACACATACTACAATTGGCTGTTCTGCATCACCTTACCCGTCATGTACAACTGGACTCTGATTATTGCAAGGTCTCTCTATGTTTTTGTGGATCTCAGCTCACTTCCAGTTTCCAGGTTAACTGACATAACTGTTCGGCTTCAAGCTCTTTAGGGCACACCTCTTTTCTTCATCTCAGCTTGTAAAGAGACTCTATGTTGCTCTCAACGTGTTTTCCTAAGATCAGGACTAGGAACTTTCCTTGCCAATATACCTGGAAACCCAGTAGCAGGATGGAGGAATGAAGAGGATACTTTTAAATTTTGATTGCCCAATCATTTAATTAAAACTTTTGGGGGACAAAAATTTTTTTTCTTCCTAAGGGAAAAAATTTTGCCAAGAGTAGAAAAAGATCAAGGATATAGATTGGTTTAAAACAAGGTGTATTTCCCAAATAATTTCTATGGTTTCCTGTCTTTTAGCCAGTAAGCAGCTCAGCCATCCAGAACCAAGCATAATTTCCTGAAGCATTTGGGCACTGGCAGTCAGTATGAACCTGGTTATTTATGTATATGACCCAATGTATTTCACTTTAGCTCTAGGTTGTTCATTCTTATTTGATGTTTTTATAAAGCTAATTAGTATAATGGCAAGGATGTTGAAATTCAGAAGTGTGAGAAAACTAATCCAACCACTCCAATTTGGGAAAAGATTTGGGAAAGCCATGGTTGATTCAATGGACTCTAAGGACCCTCTCCTAGTATTATACGTCTCATTCATGAGAAAATTATACAAAGAGGACTTTTACTGAAATGGCTCCCATTTTATTTATATACTTTTTTTTTTTTTTTTTTTTACAGAGCATGTTTTGATGAGCTCCAGTCTGATTACCTAGCATATTGGCTCGTTTTTGATTACTTGTCAGATGTAGTCTATCTTCTTGATATGTTCGTACGAACCAGGACAGGTAAATATGTTCAATTTGGGATACTTTGCAATTTCATGCTTTTGTATCTATAATATAATTTGAAAATTTTCTATTAAAGCATTCTTCAAAGTAACTCACAAACACCTGTCTTAGAGAGAGAAAAAAAAGGAAAAAAACACAGTTGAAAGCAAGAATACCATATTCCCACTCACAGGCTTAGTTCGCTCCAAAGGGTTCGGAAGGGATGTTTCTAGACAACCTTTTGAATGTGATGGGTGGCTTTCCTCTGTTACCCTGTTCACTGGGTTTATGTCACGTGAAAGGGCTAGAGAGAGCAGAAACAGTCCGTCGGCCTGGTGGGGAAAGGGAAATGCTACCTCACGGAGAGATTAAAGAGGCATGGGGGGAAGTGTCATTGTACCCAGCAGAGCTGTATTGGAAATTTTATAAGAAGCAGAACACACATCCTTAACTCAATTTTGTGACCTATGCTGAGGCATTATTGATCAGGGGGAAGAATCTAATAACTACCTACTTTAAGTACTCTTGCTAAGTAGATACAAACTCACTGTTTCTACACTGCTTCCACATGCAAAGGGAACCAGTGAACACAGAGCGTTGCTGTTGCTGTGTCCTGTTTGCAGCTCTGATAGTCGGTAGAGGAGGAAGAACAAATTGTTCTCCTGGTGAAATGTATCAGAGTGCTGAAATGCTGGATTTACTTCACCAGGCCCATGGTAGCAGTGTAGGAGAACGGAAGACCCCACATGTCTAACTAAGGAATGCTGACGCCAAGGACACTTACACTTCACACTGAAGGAGCAAGGAAAGAATATTCACAATGGTGCCCACGTTTCAAGGGTGGGGTTGGGGTTTTGTCAAGAGAGTAACCTGAGGTATAAGCACAGTACTCAGGGGTCTAGGAGACTTTCCAAGAAACACTTTTCATAAAGGCAGTGGCTTGGCCTGGATAGAGATACTGATCTACAGAGATTTGTATATAAATTGCATATAATTTCTCACTTTTGCACATACAAAGTTTTACTTTTTATTTCTGCAAAACAGTATGTTCCATAGCTATATGTTGATTGGTGCTCATATCTTACTACATTGCTAAAAGCATATTTATTGAAAGTGAGTTCTTGTTTTGAACTCAATGAAGTTTATTGAGAGTTACTTCAGAAAAATTTACAATAGCATGAAAAGAAAAAACATTAAATTGATTTTTTTTTTCTACTTTAGGTTACCTAGAGCAAGGACTGCTGGTGAAGGAAGAGCTTAAACTCATAGAGAAATATAAATCAAACTTACAATTTAAACTTGATGTTCTATCCGTGGTACCAACCGATCTGCTATATTTTAAGCTGGGGTGGAACTATCCGGAAATTAGATTAAACAGACTCTTAAGGATCTCTCGAATGTTTGAGTTCTTCCAAAGAACAGAAACAAGAACTAACTACCCCAACATCTTCAGGATCTCTAACCTTGTTATGTACATCGTCATCATTATCCACTGGAACGCATGTGTGTACTACTCCATTTCCAAAGCGATTGGATTTGGAAATGATACGTGGGTCTATCCTGATGTCAATGACCCTGAATTTGGCCGTTTGGCTAGAAAGTATGTCTATAGCCTTTACTGGTCTACGCTGACTTTGACCACCATTGGTGAAACACCGCCTCCTGTGAGGGATTCTGAGTATGTCTTCGTGGTGGTTGACTTCTTAATTGGAGTATTAATTTTTGCTACCATCGTTGGTAACATAGGGTCTATGATTTCCAACATGAATGCAGCCAGAGCAGAATTTCAAGCAAGAATTGATGCCATCAAGCAATACATGCATTTTCGAAATGTAAGCAAAGATATGGAAAAGAGAGTTATTAAATGGTTCGACTATCTGTGGACCAACAAAAAGACGGTGGATGAGAGGGAAGTTTTGAAGTATCTACCGGACAAACTAAGAGCGGAGATTGCCATCAGCGTCCACTTAGACACGTTAAAAAAGGTGCGCATTTTTGCCGACTGTGAGGCTGGTCTATTGGTGGAGCTGGTCTTGAAATTACAACCCCAAGTCTACAGCCCTGGAGATTACATTTGCAAGAAAGGCGACATCGGACGAGAGATGTACATCATCAAGGAAGGCAAGCTCGCTGTGGTGGCAGATGATGGAATCACTCAGTTTGTGGTGTTGAGTGACGGCAGCTACTTTGGCGAGATCAGCATCCTTAACATCAAAGGCAGCAAAGCTGGCAACCGAAGGACAGCCAATATTAAAAGCATTGGCTACTCAGATCTGTTCTGTCTCTCAAAAGACGACCTCATGGAAGCTCTGACTGAGTACCCAGATGCTAAAGGTATGCTAGAAGAGAAGGGGAGGCAAATCTTGATGAAAGATGGTCTGCTGGATGTCAACATCGCGAATGCTGGACACGACCCCAAAGATCTTGAAGAGAAGGTCACCCGGATGGAAGGGTCAGTAGACCTCATGCAAACAAGGTTTGCTCGGATCCTGGCCGAGTATGAGTCCATGCAGCAGAAACTGAAGCAGAGGCTAACCAAGGTGGAGAAATTTCTGAAACCACTTATTGAAACAGAGTTTTCAGCCATTGAAGGACCTGGTGCTGAAATTGGGCCCACACAGGACTGAAGAGCTAGCTATTAGCAAGGACACAGCCCATGATCCTTTCGGTTCTGTGACTCAGTGATGATTAAGTTGGAAGAAGAGAAAGGTACAGCTGGGGGATTTTCCATGAGGAAAATGTGCTTTTGGTGCAGAACACAAGGCCAACACACTAGCATGTAAGGTACTATGGTTAAAGAATCATCGTATCTTGGGATTTTCCGCAATGGACAATGTACGAAGGTTTAACTGATTAACTTATCGGTATCTACATCTTCTGATTTCCCCCCACGTTTGCTCCCTTCGTGTAACAATATTTATAAAAGGTAACAAGTGTCCCTCACTTTCAGGCAATTTACATGGTTGAGGAGGAACTGGGAAGTACCATGTGCATCATGTTCAGAATACTGTTTAAAAAGAATTAGGATGCAATAAAGAAAAATAAATTTTCAAAAGATAGTGACCATTATTTATTTAATTATTTAGTAGGGAGTTTTGGATCTTGTAGAGCTTCAAGGTCATTTTAAGGATATTAATCATCATAGATAGGCTTAGAAAGACTGGTTGAGAGAAATTTCTTACTGATAAAAGAATTAGAAATCAGACTTTACTGTACAAATATATGCATATATATTATATATATATAAATAGGACCTTAAAATAAAAACATTTTGTAGGATTTTTAAATAATAAATTAAAAAAAAATTTTTTTTATTATTAAGGCCTGACAGCAGTGGCTACTATCTTCCTCTGGTCACCAGAAAAGAGATAAAGATAATAATATTGCTGGGTGATTAACAAAGGAAGTTGTAATGTTTGACAAGAAAACTGGGAGTTCAATGGATCTGCATGGGCATCACCTGGGAGCTTTTTAAAATCTCAGAATCTCAGGCCTACCCATTGTGTCCGAATCTGCATTTCAGCAAGACTGTTAGGTGACGCATTAAAGCTTGAGAAGCACCTACCTAGAGCACCAGGAAGAAATAAATGGGAGGATGGTTCTAGAAAAGAAAAGGACAAGTATGACAAGTATGTGGCCATAGAAGACATTGCTAATCAATCACACAGCTCTTACTGCTGAGCCCAGCCATGTTTCAAAATATTCTTCCTAATACAGATTACAGAAATTGATAAAAGATTTCTATCCCCACCTAAAACAACATGATTTAATGCAGCTCCTTGTTAATTTGACATATCGGATATGTATATGGACTCCAGTCAGTGTAGCTCAATAATAGAATTTATTCTTCTCTACCCATTGTACTATACACAGTATGTCTTTGCAGTCTTAAGTTTCCCTTCTACATTTTGCCTGTCTCTTCAGTAACAGCTGGCAGGGATTTCTTCGCTGTAGAAGTGGCTATTCCTGGAGTGGGAGGGCCATAGATAATAAGTAACATGGCTTCTGCCTGAGACAGGTGCTCCTTTTCTTCTCTTTTCTTTCTGATTCTTATCATTCCTTTGCTTCAGCTGCATTGCATTCTTTTCTTTGTGCTCTTTCTTGCCTGTCATACAAACCTGTAAGACCGTAAAGAAGTTTGCTGGCTTCTCATGTCAGGCAGATGTGGTAAGTCAGGAATGAGTGAGGGTTACATATCTCGAGAAGCAACCCCACTCACAGCTTCCAGGAGTGGGCACTTTGAGTCTGATTTGGGCTGGAGACATATCCTACGGTTCTGACTTGATGACCTTTGACCCTATGCTCTATGAGTCTTGCTTTGCTCGAATTGGATGGTGGCAGATTCTTGGTTTAAAGACTTGGAGTAAGTAGGGTTTAGCCAACTCTTTTCTCACAACTTGCCCAAGTAGAGACTTCGACAGATGGTGGTGGGGGCTCCAGTTTAGATACCTGGAGGGCAATTCAGATGTGCACACCTGGGTTTCAGCTTCATTAGGGAATATTGTAAAAGGACAGAAAACATGTGGCTTTGGGGAGACCCACAGTGAAGTGCTGACCTAGGTACACGTGGCTGCCAAATTTAGAAATCCAGAGACCAGCCATATTGCAGGCTGATTCCAGTCTCCAAATGCTTGTCTATAACTAGCTTCTTAATATATTAGGACTAGGACAGACTTGGCATAAGGACAAGGGAGGGATGGCCTGACTTTGAAGATCTTTAATAATTGTGTCTAGGAGATGAGAGAGAGAATGCTGGAACTCATGGAGGCCAGATAGCAAGGAAGCAGAAACCCAATCACCAATCTTGCCAGTGTGATGAGTGTCCCCCAGCTCTACCATGATGTCAGGTCGTCATAGGAAGAGAGTGCGCAGAGTTTTGCATATGTGTTTTTTTTTAAAAACACATAACTTTTCCAACTTGAGATATGTTGTGATTAGGCTTCTTACCATTAGGTGGCAATATTGGCCTACCATGATTACCTTCAAAGCCTGAAACTGAATATTTTTCTTCATAGAAATTAAAGGTAGTAAAATCAGAGCTCTTTGGCAATAATGGGTAATTTTTTTCTAAAGTAAGATTTTTAGTATACCCAAATATATACCAGTCAAATAAAAACATGATCAAGTAGAATTTAAAATGCAAGGTAAATGGAAGCATTTTAATAGTTCTTAATTTCAGGAAGCTTACCAAGGCAATCATGATAATTATATTACAGGAAGCTTTTTAAAATGTGTAAGATGTGTTTTAGAAGCAAAAAGAAAAGGGGGGGGGAAGAGCAAGTAACAATTATATTGTGATTCAGTTTATATCTATATTTAAAAGTTCATTGTTTTAAAAAGTTTGAAAACCAGTGACTTATATCAGCAGCATTGGGAGTATTCCTGGTTAGGACACTGTTAGTTTAGGTGATATTTTCCCCTCACCACTAATGGTATTATTGGATGTCCTAGTTTTTAAACTTAAGAATTTAAAAATACCCAACAATAGGCTTCTAGAGTCAAATAGAATAATTTGCCATTCACTGGATTAGTTTGTCTCTAGCTGAAGGGAGAGAGTGGGAAATTCATGGAAAGGGAATCAAAGGATATAGAAAGTGCGGAAAGATCCCGGAGGTCATCAAGATAACTTCTCCTCATTTTATAAAACACTAGAATGATGATCAGGCAACACTAAAGCTGGTGAGAACAAAGACTATTAGGAATTTTGAGAGTGGGAGTTTTTACTGTATGTTGGACAATGATATGGTAATATCTACTACAGCCCAAAGTTGAGCTCACCTAAAACTCAGACATTTCATTCTTAGGCATAGCCACTAGAGAAAATTGTGCCCATATCCATAAGGAGACATGCTGAAGAATCTTTATAATAATAATTTTAAGAGAAACAACCTAAATGTTCATCAAAAGGAAGTTAGATATAGACCTGGCTGGGCAGCTCAGTTGGTTGGAGTATCATCCGTACACCAAAAATGTTGCAGATTTGATTCCCAGTCAGGGCACATACCTAGGTTACAGGTTCGATCCCTAGTCAGGGTAGTATGGGGGCAACCCATCTTCTCTTATGTCGATGTTTGTTTCTCTCTCTCTCTCTCTCTCTCTCTCTCTCTCTCTCTCTCTCAAATCAATAAACATATCCCAGGTGAGGATTACAAACTTGTTTTAAAGGAGGTTAGATATATCAATTGGAATACATTCATATAATGGATGCTATAAAAACATTTGAATAGTCACAGGTAACACTTATATAGTGCTTAGTATGTACCAGTTACTGTTCCAAGTACTCCCCAGAGGTCAATTCATCTAATCTTCATGACAACTTACAAGGTAGGTTCCTTTATGTTCTATTTTTTAATAAATAGGGAAATGAAAGCACAGAGAAGTTAAGTAATTTTCCCAAGACCCACAGGAAGGAAGTGACATAACCACTATTTGAATCTAGACATTGAGGCTCCAGTGCTGACTCTTGTATGTAGACCCATTCCTGGGGTCTAAATGGGCAGTCAGACATGCCTCGAGGAGTCCCAGATTGGAGAGGGTGCAGGCTGGGTTCAAGGGCAGTCCCCATCATATATATATATATATATATATATATATATATATATATATATATATATATATATCCCAGTGCATGAATTTGTTGTATGGGTGGGATCCGGCCAGCCTGACCAGGGGGAGGGGACATTGGTGGTTGGCTGGCCTGCCTGCTGGTCGAACTCCTGGTTGAGGGGACAATTTGCATATTAGCCTTTTATTATATATATATATTTAGTGTATATATATTATACACTGAGTGGTCAGATTTTTATGTGTTCAGAGATCATAATAATCTGGCCACTCAGTGTGTGTGTGTGTGTGTGTGTGTGTGTGTGTGTGTGTAAAATCCCCTTTATAATCTTTGCTATATTTGAACTATTTCAAAAGAAGACAAAAAGAGAAACAGAGGAGCTAAGTTTAAATTCACATAGTTTAGTGGCAAAGGCTGGACTTTTGACCTTTGATTCAGTGTTTACTTCCCTAGGAGGTTGATTGCTTTTTACGCAGCCCAAGTCCATGTTTTATGAGGTTTTACTTGGTGATAACATGCTTGTTATCTGTATGTTTCCACTTTAAGTCAGTCAGAGTGCATACTGAGTAAATCTGAGACAATACTTTTTAGAATTACATTACATGTCTGGATCTTGGTTTCCTGATGAGTCAGAGGTCTAAGAATGCATTTTTCACCAATGCATTCCTTTGGGATTCTGAAAATGGCTATTTACCACAAAATTACTCACCAGCCTGACAATGGGGCCCAGAAAAAGAGTTGATATTAGATTTCTTGTCAGCTTGCCAGATTCTCTTCTTTTCAGTTAGGTTCTTTCTTGTTTTATCTGTGCTGAACCTCAGCCAGCTGGACCGGGCCCAAGAAGCTACTTGAGTGAGTTCTTCAGCCATCAGGAAGCCTGTTTCCCGGGATTGCCACAAGGATTCCTGAAGCTGAGCAGCACAGGTATCCTGGTGGCACCAAAGTCCAGGGCGTCCCCCAGTCCAGGGCATCCCCCAGCGGCCTCTTGGATTACACTCAGCACAGAGAGTGACAGAGGAGCCACCCAGAGCACCTGCATCATGAAATGTAATTTCTTCCACTAATTTTTAAATGTAATAAATCTCTCCCCCCAGTTCTTTAGTTTGCAAAACCAATAAAATAAAGTAAAATAAAATACTGACAATCTATATTACACGTTTCCTGCTCCATCCAGATGCAATATCAAAATACCCAAAGAGCACAAAATAAATAAACTTATCAAAGGAATGTACCACAAGAAATTAACTTTATAATTTGCTTTGGTTATATGCCTTTTATTTTTGTGTTTAAAATAATTGAGTGTTTAAAACTCATGGGCTGAAATAAGACTTGTTGGTGATAGGAAAATGAGAGTTTTTTTTGTGTTTGTTTTTTTTACAGAACTGAAATAATGGATTTCCTTTTCTTTCTATAAATTCTTTTATTTAGATTTTGGTACTAAGTCTAGTGATAGAGATCTCTCAATTTAACAGTAGTGACCTAGACTATTTTTTACCTTAAGAGGGGGACCTGCTTCCCTGGTCTCCACATTAAACATAAAGTATTACTGCTTTGCAGCTCTTCTCTACATCCATGAGTTTGGAAGTTTTTTTGTTTTGTTTTGTTTTTTTTAATTTTGTTTTCTTTTTTAAATTCCATATATAAGTGAGATGTTGGGATATTTATCTTTTTCTGCCTGACTAAACTTAGTATAATCTCTTTAAGTTCTACTCATGTCATTTAGTAAGATTTCATTTTTTATTAAGACAAGTAGAGGGCTGGTGCACAAATTCTTGCATGGGTGGGGTCACTCAGCCTGTCTGGTGATCAGGGTTGGCAGGGGGGAAGGACTGCAGGAGGCTAGCTGGCCAGTCAGGGGGGTGGGGGGGAAGGAGACTGCGGGAGGGTGGCTGTGGGAGCACATTGATCACTAGGGGGCAGCTCATGTGTTGAGCATCTGCCCCCCTGGTGGTCAGTGTGCATTATAGCAACTGGTCCATCAGTCGTTCAGTCATTCAGTCGTTCAGTCTTTTGGTTGCTTAGGCTTTTGTATATATAGATCTTATATATTTAGATAATATTCCATTGTATATGGAACATCTTCTTTATCCAGTTATACATAAATGGATCTTTAGGATGTTGCCATGTCTTGGCTATTGTAATTAACACTGCAATGAATATGTGAGGGGCGTTATCCATATATCTTTTTAAATTAGTCTTTTCTTTTTTTTCTTTTTTCCAGATAAATACCCAGAAGTGGAATTGCTAGATTGCATGGTGGTTTTATTTTTAATTTTTTGAGGGAATGTGCATACAGTTTTCCATAGTGATTGCACCAATTTACTCTACCACCAACAATGCACAAGGATTCCTTTTCCTCCACATCCTCTCCAATACTTATTTCTTATCTTTTGGAGAATAGCCATTCTAACAGGTATGGGTGATATCTCATTGCAGTTTGATTTATATTTCAAATGGATGATTAGTGATGTTGAGCACCTTTTCATGTACCCATTGGCCATCAGTATGCCTTCTTTGGAAAAATGCCTATTTATCCCCTCTGCCAATTTTTAAATCAGATTGTTTGTTTTCAAATTATAATTTTAAAATGATTTGCTCTAAGCAATCAAATGCAGTAAAGACCTAGAGGAGGAGTTTTGTAGCGTGTTATATTCTCAGTGAGGAATTACTAGTACAAGAAGATCACAGAAAGGCTGGATTTCATTAGGAACTCTGAAGAAGAAATATTATCTTTATAGAAAGTTATGGGGCATCTGAACTTAAAAGTTGTATGCACTTCTGTTTAGTGAACCCTGAATATATTGTATTAGAGGTGGCTAGAGTGCAGAGAATGAATAAAAGGTGGCATGTGAATAAATGGAGGTAGGGAGAGAGCATGGGACTCCAGTCCAGAAAGGCAAAGGCTGAGAGAAATATGCTTAAAAACAAACAAATCACAACAGCAACAACAAAGAAACCTAGTTGATTACCAGGAGAATGGAGTGACATAACATGGACTAATTC